AATGCTATCGGAAATTTGTAAAACATTTTACGATAATTGTTGCTCCCCTTCGTCAATTACTGAAAAAGTAAACTATCTGGAAGTGGGACCAAGATTGTACATCTTCGTTTAAGCGTCGTAAGAAATGTTTGATTAACTATCCGGTTTTGAAAGTGGTTGATCCTTCTTTGCCCTCTGTTGTTACTACTGACGCCAGTTAGTATGGGATAGGCGCTTTACTCCAACAAGATAATGGAAATGGATACAAACCTGTAGAGTTTATGTCCCGACGACTGCCTAATGAGAAGGTCGTTGCTTCCACGTATGAAAGAGAGTTGTTTGCTCTCTGGGAAAAGTTGGATCATTGGCGCCATTATCTCCTAGGACGCCACTTTAAAGTCTACTCAGACCATGAGACACTTCGTTGGCTAAAAACGCAGGCCCGGATGACACCTAAACTGACTAGGTGGGCTACGAAAATCGATCAGTATGACTTTGAGCTAAAGCCAGTAAAGGGTAAGTACAACGTCGTTGCTGATGCATTAAGTCGAAGATCTAACTTTTTCGGTGCTATTGTAACATATTTAGATGTAGGCATCGACTTACAAGATAAGATTAGAACTGCATATTCCATTGATCCTGTTTATGGCGCTATGATAAAACGTATTCAAGAAGCGCCACAAGAGTTTCCTAACTATCGTGTGACACAAGGACTGTTGTTTGAGAGAACAAAAGTGCATGATAAGCTTTGTATTCCAGATATGGAAGAGATTAAAAGTATGATCTTTGGGGAGTGCCATGATACAGAAGGCCATTTCGGATGGAGGAAGACTTACGCTAACCTTCTACGTTCCTACACTTGGCCTCGCATGAAGCCTGATTGTATCGCATATGTACAAGGTTGTCAAGTGAGTCAATGGAATAAAAACACCACACAGCCTCCCCTTGGTCTTACTAAGCCTTTGCTTATTCCAACAGGTCCAGGACACTCTGTATCCATCTATTTTATGGATACCAAGGTGAAAAGCAGGAAAGAGAAAAGTCAAGTAATGGTGATTGTTGATTGGTTCAGCAAGTTTGCTGTTTTTGTAGCATTGCCTGCGGAAGCAAGAACTGACTTGGTAATTCGGGAGTCCTTTAACCACTGGGTGAAAGATTTTGGACATCCCTTAACTATCGTTAGTGACAGAGACTCACGATTCACAAGTGAACAATGGCAACAACTAATGAATGCCTATGAGTCTAAGTTGACAATGTCGTCAGACCGACATCCTGAGACAAACGGGCAAGCTGAACAAATGAACAAGCTCTTGCAGCAGACGGTGCGAATGTATATTCCTCCCGACCAGATTGACAGGGATGAGCATTTGCCCAAGGTTGCTAGTGCCTATAATAACTCTGTAAACTTATCTACAAATAGAACTCCGATGGAGTTACATTTGGGATGGAGTCCTCGCAGACCTATAGACTGTTTGAACCCCGATCGTGTACACAAACATCTGCCAGGAACTAAAAAATTTGCAATACAGTATCAGAAAAACCTAGAAAAGGTAAAGGAGAATATAATAAAAGCGCAGCATCAAATGATTGAACAGAGTAATAAGCATAGAAGACCTTATGAGTTTGCTATAGGTGATCTAGTTTGGGTAAAGTCTAAAGAGTTTGTCCTAGAAGAAAACATCTCTCAAAAGTTGTTACCCGCCTATAGAGGGTCATGGCAAGTACTGGATGTGGTAGGAGATGTGGAAGGACCCTCCTACGTTATTGAAATTCCTTTAGACCTACATACATACCCGGTATTTCATGCGTCAAAGCTCTTAACATGTGTGACTATCGAACTGTTTCCCAGTCGAAGGTCATCAATTCCTCCAAGTATGCATGGAAAGTTTGATGTGGATAAGATCATTGTTGAAAGTACCATTCAGACCAGACGCAGAGGTAGACCTCAATGACAATATAAAGTTCGATTTGCCTATCAAGATCCAAGTGAGGACCGCTGGTTTAGTAGAGAAGAGCTAATTGATTCAGCACCACACATTGTATCTGCTTATAAATAAGCATGAAGAGGAATTAATATTGTGGATACATAGGAACTTTTCTCAGAGGACTTCGAAGTTAGGCAGACAAAGGGCCTTTACGAATCAGACCCCGAATGGAAACCCCCAGACGAACAGCAACTCAAAAGACAGAGTTCTTGAGGTAAAACTCACATCCATAATGAAATGGAAAGTCATTTCAAAAGGGTTATAACAGGTCCTGCACGAATCGGTACTGGACACAGTTTTTGAGACCGAGAAAGGGTCATGTCTCCTTGATGAAAAGTCATGTCTGTTCGTTAATAAGTCAAAGGGTACAGTCCCAGTCCAATCATAATTCCACAAGTCAGTCCTGATTCAGAACGGGAGTCCAAAAGACCCGCCCGATGGCCCAAGCAGCAGCAGACCATGGGAAAAGATAGTGGGACACACACTTTGGAACAATCGGTATTGGGCAGGAGTCACAGGCACACTTGAGGCTGAATGCAGGCCACACCAGACCAGTCCAGCACTATAAAGGACTGGCCAGCCTCCCATTTGGACAGAGGCTCACTTCGCATGGAAGTGTGGAAATGTCGTGGCACTTGTGCGTTAGGTGTGTGTGAGCTGCGCCAGGCTGAAGAGCGGCGCTGTACGAGGAAGAAGAGAGTGTTGGCGAGAAGGAAGGCAGCCATAGTTGCGCCAACAAAAGTTAGCAGTAATAGAGGGGTTAGCAGTAGTAGGAGTACCAGTGAGTAGTATTCAGAGTAGATCCTCGTATGATAGGGAGTGTACATGCATGATGAGTGAGAGTAGATCAGTACTATAGACCAGGAGGGAGAGAGAGAAGAAAGCAGACGAGAGAGGGGAAGGTGCGAGTTATGGTGATACTTACCTATTGAGCGTTGTTATTGATGTCCGACAGTTGGTGCTGGCTGAGCACCACACCAGGGAACTCATGTTTTTGGGAGAAGACTTATGACTTTGATTGGCGCTGTACATTTGGACTTATGATGTGCCTCCTTACTCGGGGTTTGTTAGTTAATTAAGTTGAACTTCCTGTTCTCATTCATCTTCTATGGGGCTTTGTGTGAGATATAGCAGCTTGGGAAATTTGTGTGAATGCATGTGATGTGATGCACTCCAGCAAGTGTTGAACAGTCGGGTTCCTTGCAATTTAGTATTGGAGCAGAACATGTTACTCTCACTGGACGCGCTGGCATAATCCAGGCCGGCGAGAAGGATAAGCTCGCTTGAGTACAACTGGCGAGAGTTGAGGTGTTAAGGTGTTGGATAGGGAGAGAGGGGGAAGTTGGCCGAAGAAGAAGGGGTTAAGGAGAAGAAGACTTACCTGCGATTGGGGCGATTGGAGCGAACGTGCAGTCTTCATTAACGGCTACGAAGAAGTGAAGAACCTTCTGAACCACTTACCTCGATTGATTGCAAATCTGTGTTTTGTGTCTTTTCCCCCTCCTTTCTGATGGTCGCTGCTGCTGTCTGGATGAAACCGGTGGTCTGGTATTTTGAATGTCAAGGCTGTAGAGTCTGGGTCAGGACAGAGAGTCAACACCTGGTCCTATCACTCTGACACCTGGTCTGACAGAGGTAGTAAAGATAGGTTTAGACTGCGAGCTGTGGCAGATTGCTACGCCAGACTACAACAGGTCACAAGTATAATCGATCTGGGCGAATTTGGTGAGTACTCAAGTACCACCTACTATATCTGACAATGTGAAGTCTCCAGTCACTACCTGTACATAAGGCCTGCCAAGCAAAGAAGTTTGAAAAAAAAAAAAAAAACGAGATACAGTCAGACCACAAAACATAGTGACATAAAAGTGTTGAACAGACAGCAAATAAATAAGTAAAGGAAAGAAACTTTGTTTCTAAGTTTGATTAGGAAAAGGTTATTTGTTATTTTTTTTTCGCAGCGACACTAAGATATATATATAAAGAAAAAAAAACAGAACCCGTCCACATAAAAGGTAAAAAAGAAAGGTGGACTAGTAGCTGGGGTATCTACTTGGTGGACCAGCGGAGGCCATTCCTGTGCTGACTCCCACCATGGACGATTATCCTATGCAGGGATTGCTGGCCCTTTCAGTATTGTTGGGGCCACTGTTCAGATTATGTTTTGCCCTTGGCTTTGGGAGGGTTTGTTCCTCCCATATGATGCAAATGAGATCTGGCAAGGTGAAGCAGGGGCTGTCTGCGGCTGAACAAGCAGAGGTGGATCGCCGCATGGCAGAAAAACAGAAAGAGAAAGAAATAAAAAAGAAACAGAAAAACGAGGAGGTAAAGAAAATAAAAAAAGAAAGAGAAAAGTTAGAGAAAGAAATGAAGGAGAAAGAAAGAAGGCTGCAAAAAGAGTTAAAGGCGGTTGAAGAAAAAGAAGAAGAAGAAGAAGAAGTTGAAGCAGAGGATGATGGAAGACTGTACAGACGCCAGATAGAAAGAGGTGAGACCAGCGAAATCCTTGGCATAAATATAGAGATGGAAGCTATAAACTTGTTGGACCAGTTTGGTTATAAGACAGAAATGTTTGTTGAGTCAGAGGAAGAGAGGGATACTTTTGTTGCTAAGTTGGCCATAACCCTTAGACCCAATGGAGAAAGAAATCTTGCTACAAGAAAAGAAAGCAGAACTACATAACAAAATGGTGGCGGCAAAACGACATGAATTTGAAGAAAAGAAAAGGTTGAAGGAAGAAGGGGAGAGGTTTCAGCAGCAATTGCAAGAGCAAAATTAAAAAACCAGCTGCAGCAGATGAACGACTGTCCCTCCTCACCGATACCCTTTTCCATACCAAGAAACAGCTCGCCGCGTTGTCAAAGCAAGTACATGAAGTTGATCATCACCAGTTTGAGTTCGGGGGCGTCTGGAACTCCTTCCTGCAGAGGTCTGCACAGGAAGTGGATAAGCATATAAAAATAGCCTGTGTAGAAAAACTGAATGAACAAATAAGCAAAAGATTATCTCATGCCGCCGTGGTAAAGAAATTAGCAGTTGGCGGTGGAGAAGATGGAGGAGACGGAGATGGAGATGGAGGAGATGGAGACAAGAAGAAGAAGGGAGTGCAACAAGAAGAGACAGGAGAAGTAAGAAAGCTTAAAGTAAAAGTACCGTGGACTTACACGGGTAAGAAATAAGAAAGTGTGTTGCATTGGATCGAGGCAGTCGAATCCTATGTCTATGGACAACGCATTCCATACTGCGACCGAGTTATCATGGCCAACTCGTGTATGGCTGGAGATGCTATGAGATTCACAATCTCCTTGCAAAAAGAAGCAGTTTACCAATCCATGGTAGAATAGTTCCAAGAAGCGCGAATTGAAGATTTCTTTAAAGTTGTCAGGGAAAGGTTTGAGGATAAAAATTCAACCCGGAGAACTTGAAATGTTAATCCTAAATATCGTAGATAGGAAATGGAAGAGTGTGTCTGCACTCAAGGCCACCATGGATGAACTCCTACAATGCGTTGAACACGGACTCACCCCAACACAAATTTTGAATAACTTTGCTAGGGCACTTCCCGATCCTCTCCGTACCCAGTTGTATCCCCGTATGAAGGAGGACGGGATGACATATGAGAAATTCAGCAAGATTGTTATAGATCATGCTGGTTTCTTAGCTGAAGTTAACTACTGTCACTATTCGAAAGATCTGCAAGCGGGAAAGAAATGGCAGAACCGCACAATCTCAAGGAATATACCTCGGAAAGACAATCTTTTTTTGACCTTTGTAGAAGGAGGTGTCGAAACTCTCTCCTATGATCAAATAGATTACGGTCTAGAGGAAGGACCCAACGGATCGGTAATCCAGGAGGGGGACTATGAGGCCCTTGCAGCCTGTGGGGGAGGGCGACAAGGAGGGGTGGTGGCGAAGGTAGCTACTACGTGGGAGGAAGGAGCAATGGTCCCTCGCAAGGTGGCCGAGGTTTCAACTCCACTTGGGGAAGAGGAAGAGGCACTTGGTATGGAGACTGGGATAAGCCATATCCTCCCCATCCAGGTCTGCCTGAAGGGAAGCCTTGGAAGAAATTGGGCATCGCATAAAAAGTATGGCAAGAAAGAAAAGTTGTTGACCAGTGTCTCAAGTGTAGTGACCCCAACCACATCGTTCCCTACTGTCCAGACTATAAGATATCAAAAGGGAACAACCAGTAGGGGTTTCAGTTGCCTCTACATGAACTTCAAATGTAAACAGACAGATATCCCTCCATTCGAAGGTTCCACTGGCAGAAACTGTAAAGAAAAACGATCCCTACCTAGCTAACTGTCCAGAGGTACCTGGTGTATGTCCATCTCTAGGTGGATCCCTCGCAGGCATAGGTGATAAGCTGGTCACTCGTCGCGAAGCCTGGATCAAAATGAAAAAGTGTAAGGGACAGTTGATAATTGCAGATCTAGAAGTTAACAAGGTAAGAGTTGGTGGAATTATTGAAAGTGGGTCAACACGCAGTTATATAAGTAAGAAAGGATTGTCGAAACTACGTCATGGGCGAAAGGTAAAGCAGTTAGATGAGCCCGTAATAAGTAAGTTAGCTAATAGTTTTGTCACTGTAATGGATAAATATGTTGAAGGGGTCCAGATATACTTCCGGCTTGAAGCCGAGGGGAAGGTGGAACGCGTTCTCCACTCTCTGACTCTCTTGGTTGAAGTCAATCTTCCTTTCGACATCTTTTAGGCATGTATTGGGGGGAAGCTGAAGGTGCGGATATAAAGATGAGGGATCATGAGTGTTGGCTCCCTAGTCCGCAAGGTGGAAAGAAGAAAATCCGCCTATTACACGAATGCGCTAAGGAAAGCAGCTTAGCTCATTGTTGTATGAGTGCCCCTGCGTTCGTCCGCCATATAAAGAAATGTACTTTGTATGATCAAGTGTTTGTGGCATATGTGCGGCCAGTTAAGGAAGGTGAAGACAAAGAAGAGGCAAAGTCCCCAGAAGTTGATAAAATCTGAAAAAATTCACAGATGTGGAAGAGGCCCCAAGCGGTGTGGTTGAACAACCCATAAAACATTGCATTGAGATTTTACCCGGAAGGCAAATTTTGAATGGTCCGATCTATAGAATGTCACCCAAAGAATTGATAGAATTGCGAACGAACTTGATGAAATGCTGGAAAAGGGATGGATAAAGCCTAGCTCCTCACCTTATGGTGCGCTAGTGCTATTTGTGCCAAAGAAAGATGGCGGGGTCCGCATGTGCATAGACTATAGGAGGTTGAATGACATAACTATTAAAAATGTTGAGCCATTACCAAGAATCGATGATTTATTTAATAAACTTCAGGGAAGCAAGTACTTTACCAAGATTGATTTGAAGTCTGGCTACCATCAGATTGAGGTAGAGCCAGAAGACCAACATACGACTGCCTTTCGTAAAAGGTATGGGCATTATGAATTTGTTATGTTGCCCTTTGGTCTTACTAATGCTCCTGCAACCTTTCAACGTACAATGAATGAACATTTTTCGTGAATGGCTTGATAAATTCGTTGTCATATATCTTGATGATATCTTGATTTTTAGTAAAAGTCTGAGTCAGCATTGCGAGCACCTTCGACTTGCGCTGAATAAATTACGTGAGGCAAAGTTAAAACTGAACCCGAAGAAGTGTGAGTGGGCAAAGCGTCAGGTGTTGGATTAGGGGCACGTAATATATGGAGATAGTATCGAACCGGAAGATGCAAAGATTGCAGCTATTCGAGATTGGCCCAATCCACGTACATTGACGGAACTACGATCGTTCCTTGGATTGGCTAACTATTATCGAAAATTTGTAAAACATTTTACGATAATTGCTACTCCCCTTCGCCGATTGCTGAAAAGGGGAACTATCAGGAAGTGGGACCAAGATTGTACATCTTCGTTTAAGCGCCTTAAAAAATGTTTAATTAACTATCCGGTTTTGAAAGTGGTTGATCCTTGTTTGCCCTTTGTTGTTACTATTGACGACAGTCAGTATGGGATAGGCGCTGTACTCGAACAAGATGATGGAAATGGATACAAACCTGTAGAGTTTATGTGCCGACGACTGCCTAATGAGAAGGTCGCCGCTTCCACGTATGAAAGAGAGTTATTTGCTCTCTGGGAAGCCTTGAATCATTCGTGCCATTACCTCTTAGGACGCCACTTTAAAGTCTACTTAGACCATGAGACACTTCGCTGGCTAAAAACGCAGGCCCGGATGACACCTAAACTGACTAGGTGGGCTGCGGAAATCGATCAGTATGACTTTGAGCTAAAGCAAGTAAAGGGTAAGTACAACGTCGTTGCTGTTACATTAAGTCGAAGATCTGACTTTTTCGGTGTTATTGTAACATATTTAGATGTAGGCACCGACTTACAAGATAAGATTAGAACTGCATATTCCACTGATCCTGTTTATGGCGCTATGATAAAACGTATTCAAGAAGAGCCACAAGAGTTTCCTAACTATCATGTGACACGAGGACTGTTCTTTGAAAGAACAAATGTGCATGATAGACTTTGTATTCCAGATGTGGAAGAGATTAAAAGCATGATCTTTGGGGAGTGCCATGATACAAAAGGCCATTTTGGATGGAGGAAGACTTACGCTAACCTTCTACGTTCCTACACCTGGCCTCGCATGAAGCCGGATTGTATCGCATATGTACAAGGTTGTCAAGTGTGTCAACGGAACAAAAGCACCACACAGCCTCCCCTTGGTCTTACTAAGCCTTTGCCTATTCCAACAGGTCCAGGAAACTCTGTATCCATCGATTTTATGGATACCAAGGTGAAAAGCAGAAATGGAAAAAGTCAAATAATGGTGATTGTTCATAGGTTCAACAAGTTTGCTGTTTTTGTAGCATTGCCTGCGGAAGCAAGAACTGACTTGGTAATTCGGGAGTTCTTTAACCACTGGGTGAAAAATTTTGGACATCCCTTAACTATCGTTAGTGACAGAGACTTACGATTCACAAGTGAACAGTGGTAACAACTAATGAATGCCTATGAGTCTAAGTTGACAATGTCGTCACACCGATATCCTAAGACAAACGGGCAAGCTAAACAAATGAACAAGCTCTTGCAGCAGACGCTGCGAATGTATAGTCGTCCCGACCAGATTCACAGGGATGAGCATTTGCCCAAGGTTGCAAGTGCCTATAATAACTCTGTAAACTTATCTACAAACAGAACTCCGATGGAGTTACATTAGGGATGGAGTCCTCGCAGACCTATAGACTGTTTGAACCCCGATCGTGTACACAAACATCCGCCAGGAACTAAAAAATTTGTAATACAATATTAGAAAGACCTAGAAAAGGTAAAGGAGAATATACTAAAAGCGCAGCATTAAATGATTGAACAGGGTAATAAGCATAGAAGACCTTCTGAGTTTGCTATAGGTGATCTAGTTTGGGTAAAGTCTAAAGAGTTTGTCCTAGAAGAAAACATCTTTCAAAAGTTGTTACCCGCCTATAGAGGACCATGACAAGTACTGGATGTGGTAGGAGATGTGGACGGATCCTCCTACGTTATTGAAATTCCTTTACACCTACATACATACCCGGTGTTTCATGCGTCAAAGCTCTTACCATGTGTGACTAACAAACTGTTTCCCAGTCGAAGGTCAGCAATTCCTCCAAGTATGGATGTAAAGTTTGATGTGGATAAGATCGTTGCTGAAATTACCATTCAGACTGGACGCAGAGGTAGACCTCAGCGGCAATATAAAGTTCGATTTGCCTATCAAGATCCAAGTGAGGACCGCTGGTTTAGTAGAGAAAAGCTAATTGATTCAGCACCACACATGTATTTGCTTATGAACGAGAAAGAAGAGGAATTAATATTGTGGATAGATAGGAACTTTTCTTAGAGGACTTTGAAGTTAGGCCGGCGAGAGTAAAAGGGTCCTTACGAATCAGACCGCGAATGGAAACCCCCACAGCAAAGGGCTCTGTCGGCCAAAGCTTAAATTCACATCCAACTCAAAAAACAAAGTTCTTGAGGTAAAAGTCACATCCATAATGAAATGGAAAGTCATTTCGAAAGGGTTGTAACAGGTCCTGCACAAATAGGTACTGGACACAGTTTTTGAGACTTAGAAAGGGTCATGTCTCCTTGATGAAAAGTCATCTCTGTTCG